CTGTTTTGTTGCAATGGGGCAAAAATCTTTTAAATGTACCTGTTCTGACTCTCAGTGCAGGGATGTGGAACCCTCAGCCCAGAGCACTGACTCAATGCAGGACTCACACTGTACATGTGCCATTTATGTCCATCATTTTCCTGCTGCAGTTGCTGGTGGGATGTTGGGAATCTAATGAAGCTGGAGGTGCTGGTATCACAAGGAGAGTGAGGAGGGTGCTGCTATGCTTGAGCACAGATGCAATTGAGCAGAGGGAGTGATAGATTTTTCTTTCCGCTTGGCTGATTGAAAATAATGCAACATAAGGGGGAAAGGAGAACTCCTGCAGTTTTGTGGGAAGTGCTTGCGCTTGATAAAAGTAAAATAATAAAAGTCTGACATGGTTTTCTTCTTCTTAGTCCCTTATTAAAATGTATAATGAAGATGTTTTATGCTGTCACACAGCTCAGGTATAACAGCCAGCAGGGGAAATTTTGAGTGATCTGCTGTAAATGTAATATTGTTGATATTTCGGGCAGCCAATGAGATGTTTGAAAAGAATTGCCTTTTAACTCTACCACGTTTTCTGGTTTTGGCAAGACATCTTCATAGTTCTTCATCTTTGAAGCATCTCAGATGTGGCTGTGATGCGATTTTTAGTGCATATATTGACTTTGATGAGGAAGGAGAAAATGGATTCTTTGTGTTGTAAGCCTGTGGCGTGTTTGCCCTTTGAGCACTGCCTTCCTTTCGGGTCACTCTGTTTCAAAAGGATGAAGGAGAGGGAAGTTTCAGGGACACAGACATGGTCAGGAGTCTCCAGGCAAGGAATCATGAATCAGTCTAAAGCTTCTACCCTTGAAAAGGCAGCAAGAAGGAAGATGTGACAGTGGTTTGGGGAAATAATGGCTGGGGGAGAGAGAGGCAGAAATGGGCCAGGAATGGGATAAAGCTCAGTTTTGTTCTGTTGTTTCCTGGAACTGGGTAAAACTAGTGAGGCCAGGCCAGGGCAGGTTCAAACCAGGCAAGGGGAGGTGGTGCTTCCCACTGGGTAATTAGCTGGGGAACTCTTTGCCAGGGGATATTATGGATTCTAAAAGCTGACCTGGGTTCAGAGGCAGGTTAGGCAAGTTCATGGAGAGGAGAGCTGCTGCATTTATTAAGGAGATAGAGAGAAGCCATCCTTGGTTTAGGAAGTTTTTCAGGAGCTAATGGTTGGAGGCTGGGATAGAACTTGATAGAAGCATCATGCTGGGCTTGCCCTGTTCTTACCTGTATCAAAGTTTGCTCTCTTGTCCCAGCTTTCCTTTGTACAGATGTCAGCAAGGTCATGTGTAAGAGGGAGGATGAGAAGTCATTTTCTTTGCAGAAATAAGAGAACCGAGACTTTATGATGAAGAAATGGAAACTTCATAAAACAGATTGTAATGCTTTAGACAAGTTGGAGCACTGTGTTCCATGTAATTGTTTGCTAATACCCTGCTGCTGTTTGGGGATTAGAGGGAGGGAATTCCTGGATTGATACACTACTGCAGGTGATGATTATTAGAATTAGGAAATGAGTACCTAGTTGAAATTAGAGAGGGAGAATTTCTTGGATTTATCTCCAGGATTGTATTTGACGTGGTAACAGACATACCTGAGTGCCCAACAATGCCATTAACTATGCACAGGAAAAAATATCTTAATATTTCTTATGTTGGGCTTGGCTAAATGATACAGATGGGTTTGTGCACCGCTGAGGAACCTGAAGCTGTAAATCACAACTGACAATGTTAAAAACTTATTTCAAGACACAGCTTGCTTTTCATGTTGCAAACTAAACATGGATCTTTTAAAGATCTGGCAAAGGAGGAGGAGAAATTTGCAATTGCAGATGAAAGTTAACTGACTCAGCAAGGCTGGTGCATGGCACTGACTTGCTAGTCACTGTTAATGGCCTTTCAGTCATAAACCACTGACAAATACACTATTAGGAATTCTTCTACAGACTAGTTGATCTTTTTAATGTGTCTCAAAATTTAACTTGCATAATTTCTCTTACATCACCTCTTAGGAGTGATGCTGGGTTCCTGTGACTTCATTACAAGACATGGGGTGACTTTTGGTAGGCAGTAATAAAGAGTGATGCTGAAAACTGTACAGGATAATTCTATAAACCAGGCATGTCTTTACTGACACTGAGAGCTTCAAGCAGAAAAATAACACTATGAACAGTGCTGGCTTAGAGGGAAAAATGTTTACAGGGGCCTTGTGACACTCAGGCAACCCAGATTTAGTTTTGGGTTTTTTTAAAGGTCAGAATGACAAGTCCTTCATTTATGTGCTGATGATAAGCTTTAGGACTGGGTTAAACTTTAAAGTTGTTTAATTACCAAGTATTCATTTGAGGTTTAGAAAATGGAATACAGTTCACTGTTATGTGTATTGCAATTATTGCAATACATGAATTTTTAGGTAAGTTTTTGTTTACTAAAAAATAGTTACTTGAGCTTCTGTGGACTATGGGATGTTAATCTGAGTGAGCTTTGTGTAGAGAAATGACCAAATGAGAGTCAGTGCAGTAGAACTAAGAATGGTCTCTCTGGGGAAGCTGTCATTCAGGAGTACCTGGCTTTTTTTATCCCTGTGCTGGGCTTCTAGAAAGTTATTCCCTTAATGGTGTAGCTCAGTGAGGTGTCATTTCATCAAATACCATGTGAAGCCCAAAACACTTAAATCATTCCAGTGTGACTCTAAATGAAACCTGAACTCTTCAGTGCATTGAACCTGATTGAATTCTAATAAACAGGCTTCATTTTCTTCAGAAACTGAATTACTTGCTTTTAATCTTTCTCAGGTCAAAGATCGGGGCCCGGAAGCCACGAGAAGATTTTTTAATTGGTTTTATTGGAGCATTAATTTGGGAGCTATTCTGTCTCTGGGAGGCATTGCATACATCCAACAGAACGTGAGCTTTGTTATTGGATACAGTATCCCAACAGTCTGCATTGGGATTTCCTTCATGGTTTTCTTATGTGGTCAGAGTTTCTTCATCACCAAACCCCCTGATGGCAGTGCCTTCACAGACATGTTCAAAATCCTCACATATTCCTGCTGCTCCAAGAAGACACACATGGAACGTTCAACCAGCAGGTTTGTGCTGAGCTCTTCTCTATCACCTGAATTCAGCAAATCAACCCAGGAGCTGGAACTAGTTAGTTCAAACTAGCTGGTAGTGAGTCACACCAGAGACTGCATTAGAACATGCAGGTCTGCTTTTAGAACTGGAAAGCTGGAGTCCTGGAGATATTTTCTGGGAGTGTTGGGATGAGAGAGGCACATTTTGAGGTCACTGGATCTCCATGTTGCAAGATAAGTCTGCTGTTTTCAGCTGAGTGCAGTGTCCTGCCAGTTCAGAGTTTCTGAAACTGTAACATAACCTGGCTATGCTGCTTCTAAGCATGAATTAACTTCTCTGTTAGATATGTTTATGGGTGCCTTCTGATTTGAAAACCACTGCCATCTGCATTTAATATTGTAAGTGGCTTGATGGGCCTCCAAAGTTTTTCCACACTTAAGAGATGCCCATGGAATACTGGTGCTTGAATCCCTGATAAGAGATGTCAGGTTTCAGGTACTCAGACTGAGAAACAATTCAATTACCATAATTAATTCATTTAACAAACAGTATCACAAACTACAGGTTATTCTAAGTTCTGCCTATAGGAATGCCAGTTTTTTAGGGCTGGGGCAGGAGGAGGATGGGAAATAAGGAAACCTTCATAAGAGGTTTCATCTTATGTTTTCACCTGCTGTGACCCGTTCCAGCCTAGTTGTGTTGCTGTAACTTGCATGAGTTACTCTGGAAATGCATAAGCTGTTTATAATGAAGTGTCACAGGATTGCCTGTCGTGTCAGTTTTTGTTGTTTAACTAAACATTTCCAATTCTTTTCCAAAGTGAAGGCCAGGGAGTTCTTCACCAGCCTCGCAAGCAAAGCCTGTTTGAGATGGCCAAGCTGTCTCGGGGGGGGCCCTTCAGAGAAGATAAAGTAGAAGATGTAAAAGCTCTTGTCAAGATTATCCCTGTCTTCCTGGCTTTAATACCTTACTGGACAGTGTATTTTCAAGTGAGTAGTTCCAAATGGTTACAGTTGTATTTTACATGTCTAAAAAAACCCCCATCATTTTTAATCTAACACTTCTTCTGGGGGCTCTCTCATAAATGTGAAACTTACCTTGAAGGTGAGAGATGACAAATGGCTCTTTGAGAAAACTCTCAAGTAATATTTTGACCTAATAATAAAAAAGAAAATGAAATCATTAAAGCTGTAGTTAAGACTCAGATTTTGTAAATGTAAATAAAAATTTTGTAATGTTCCAGCAATAATTCTCTTTGCTTTGCTGTGTTAGCACTCTACCTCTGGTATAATCATTGTTAATTATTAAAAATACCTCGCTCTCAGCACTCCTTCTCCAAGTAATGTCAACCCATCTTTTTTAATTCTAGATGCAGACAACATATGTATTGCAAAGTCTCCATCTGAAAATTCCTGAGATACCAAATGACACCAACTCCATCCACACGGTAAGCAGAGCAAAACACCTTAAAAGTATGTTTTCTTTAGCTGAAATGCAAATGAGGTAAGTATTGTACAAAAATGCCAGCAAGTTCAGGTAGTGCCTAAGGGGAACTGGTGGCCAAATCCACTGGGCATTTAGAACCATGGTGCACATTACAGGGGTTTTGTTACACCAACAAGTGTGTGGAGTCCACACCATCCTGTTCTGAATGTGTTCAGGTAACTCTCACTGCTTTAAATAAGAGTGTCTTTATCCTTCAGTGGACCAAGTCTGACCTTTGAAGAAAGCTTATAAATCTATATGCCTCAAGTTTCCAAAGTAGGACAGAAGCATTCCTGCAAGCTCAGTAGGAATACCCCTCCTTAACTGATGCATTAGTATTTGGAATCTGGGATACATTTGTTACTTTATACTGCTTAATCAATAATCACTTTACCTTGAATCAAAAGAAGTTGTTCAATCAATATTTTCCAAGAAAGGCTGTCATCATATGCCTGCAGGAATGGTACAGAGAAGTAAAACCAGAAAGTATAAATATAAGTTATTAACAGATCTACTTTATGTTATTATGAACCATGTGATGTCTTTTTATAACATTGTCAGGTGGACTAGAGAAGTGGATTATTTTCTTCTAACAAAGTGCACACAGGAGTTGAGTCCCATTGTCAGACTGAATATTAAAAATAAAAATATTGTCAGTCTGAATGTTTATTGTGTAGAAATGAACATGGAGCTTTGGTTATCAAACTGAGCATTAGAATTGTTTCAAGTTGTAATTAAGCATTATGTTTAATTAAATTAGTTCAAAAAATAATGGCTTTCACTGGTTTTCCTGAAAAGACATTAAAATACCACTTTTTCTAACAAAAGTGTGGATTTAAAAGTTAGTTGCCTGTTTGTAGTGTTTACTTAAACACTGTTTGAGGCAAGGATGATGGAACAATGTCTTGATACATCTAAAGAATGATTTTCTGTCCTGCCCTAAGAGTGACTGGCTCCTTTCTCTGCAGCACATCAGTTGTGTTGCTTTATTTAGAAATACTTTGTTGTCATCTAGCAGCATAAGACAGCTAAGTTAATTTGGTTTTGCTGTCTTCCATGGTATGTGGTCTACCTGAAGGATGCTGACCTGCAATCTCCTTTATGTAGTGATTTGAGGTAATTAGGAGAAGGAGCAGTAATATAACATTTTACATTGTACCTTGTCAGGTTTTCCTTAAGCTCTTGCAGGCACCTCTGCCCAATACTAAGAAAAGCATATTTCCTCTTGATATGAAAAGAGTGAAATATGTGTATGCCCTTTAATCTGCAGGCTCCTGATAGAGTAGAAAATGGAAAGCATACATTTTAAACAAAAAAAACCCCAAACCCAAGTGATTGATTGGGTGAAATACAGCAGTGCCAGAGGCATTTGGTATTTCTCATCTTTCTTACCAGATTTAGCAATGACAAAAAATTCCTACATCCTTGACTCTAATTACACAAATCAGTCTCTGTACAAACTGTGACACAGGTTACTGCTGGTGTGATATTTGAAGCAAAGGAAAAGGTGAGTGGGAGAGGGAGGAAAATCGACAGTTACAATTTTGCAAAACTTCAAAATAAGCAAGAATTTGCCTAACTCAGCAGAATTCACTGGGCATTTTTCAAAGCATGTGACCATTGCTAAGTAATGTACACAACCTTATGTATCAAACTGCTGGATGTCTTTATATAACCAAACTAGATTGTTATTCCCTTTGTAAATCAGTGGAGTTCTTGTCTGCAGGGAGAGCTGTGTGCCCACAGTGTGTCAGAGGCTGAGGGCTTGGGTCTTTCAGGGATTTGCAGTGGTTCAGGTTTGTAGCCTTTGGAGAGTCTGGTTGTTTTGTTTTGTTGGGGTTTTTTTTGTTTTGTTTTATATTTTTGGGGGGTTGTTTGGTTGGTTGGTTTTGTTTGTTTTTTTTTGTTTGTATGTCAGGATTTATGCAGAAACACTCAGATGTTGTGATAATGCTAATAGCCATCTCAGCTGTCAAAAGGACTTCATACAGGCTTAGTTTAGATAGTTAACTTTTGTTTTAACAAAAATTAATTCAAAGTAAGCATCTAAAATACAAGCCCTCTGAAACCTAGAGATCTTATAAAAAATCCTTTGCAAAACATCTCCGAGTTCAGTTTTGCTTTCTGAGAGTACTTTCTTCATCTGCCCAGTAATTTCCTTAGTCCTCATTTTCCTTGGAACTGTGTGCACTATTATTTGCTTTTGTGAAAAGAACCTTTTTGCTCTGAACACTTGATGTTCAGAGCATCCTCCCCCCCCCACAAACAAAAACAACAGCACCAAAACTAACGCCCACCTCAGCACAGCTGGAGGTGTGTCTGGAGAGGGAGAATGTACAATAGTGGTGGAGTTGCTGTGGTGAGGAGTCACTTGTGCTTCTGAGCTCACAGATTTATGAACAGCCAAACTAAATAAAACCTGAATAGCTGAATGTTTTCCTCAGCTTTCACACACTCTCACTTTTCACAATGTCTGTCAGTGCACGGTGCTTTGTTTTGGATCAAAGTGTTCCATCACAAATCTCTTTTTTTTGTAAAATAATAGTAAAAATCAACTCTTTAAGTATGGAATTGCTAACTTGAGCCATCTACCCTTTAAGTTTCCAGCAGCCTGGTTGACCATGTTTGATGCAGTGCTGATTCTGATCCTAATACCCTTAAAAGATAAATTGGTGGACCCCATTTTAAAGAGGAATGGCCTGCTCCCATCCTCGCTGAAGAGGATTGCAGTTGGAATGTTCTTTGTCATGTGTTCTGCCTTTGCTGCAGGTAAGGAGACAGCTTTGAGATCTACCTACATAATGAATTATTCAGCTACTCGCAACAGCATTTTTTAAAAACCTTTGTGAATCTTTAGTTCAGCATTATTCAGATCTCATTTTCATGGGGAAGTTGGAATGCAACTGCATGAAATCCAATTTGATTGTATCCAAAAACTTACTAAACTGTTTTGAACCTTTGCAATAGAATTGGACCATTTTTCCTGCCTGAAGTAGACTTTGCATGTACCCTTCAAAACCAGCCTGTTAGTCAAGGTTTTCACATAGAGTGTTACTTTCTAGTACACTTGGTAGTGGAGAACTATTTGTTTTCTGGCCAAATGCCTTCCCTTCATGATCAGTGAGTTGCCTGAACAAGGCTGTTAGTCCTCTCAAATTAAATTTACAGTATTGTGGAAGTCCATGTTGTCTGATTTATTATCATTTGATCTTGAAGCTGAGAATTTATTTATCCTAAAAAACAAATTGGTTCAGAAATAAGTATGTTTCTTCATACATTCTAACTTCCAAATATTAAAAAGGTGAAATTTTACCTTTCCCTTTATCTAAAGTAATGAAGTTAGGTTATGGCTGAACAAGAGTTTCCTCCCACTTTGGGGTTTTTTCTGCCCTACCTTTAATGTGCCCTAATGTTTGGGAATTAGTGTAGTGTAAAATAGCTTAGCTAAAATTCCCTTAGCTTGAAAGGGAAAAGATGGCAAGTCTGCTGGAACCATAAATCAGCTGCTTTTGAGATGATTTAAGGTTGTTAAGCGCTGCTGGTGTGGAACTGAACATCTCTGAGCAATGCTTCGTGGAATCCATAGCCTTCACTAGCATCACTGAAATGAACATATTGATAAAGCATTATAGCATTAAATAAATGAATTTCAGCACTTGTGATGCCCCATATTTTAGGGAGAGGGACATTTTATATGGCTATTAAGATTTCTTTCAATGAGAGAGATAATTACCTTATTAGGCCAAGGTCACTTTGTGTGTGGGCAAGGAAAGTTCTTTAAGCAAAGTCATTTAAACTTAAAATAGGAGTGTTTCTCTTATTCCATGTTTCTTAGAACACTGGTACTGCAAAAGAGGATGATGTAAAACAGTTAAATGTCAGCTCTTTAAATAGAACTCAGGCTCACATATAAGGGAATTCAAAACCAGCAATATCTGTCTTTATTAGCAGTGGGGGGAAAAGCACATTGAGCTGTGATAGCCGAGTTGGGGAATGGGTTCCTACAGCAGAATTCTGAAAAATTTTAAATGCCAGTTTTTCTGTTCACCTACAAATGTAACACATGATTTTGTGGGTTTGATCCTCCCCAGCTCTTCCACAGTAGAAGCTGAAAAGGTGAATTCTTTGGATGGTTATCTGCAATCTGTTTGGAAAGTTTAACCTTTTGGAGTAACTTAATATCTCTTCATCATAAGAGGAATTTAAGAGCTTCAGTTGCCACAAATTTGGGGTGTAGGAAACTGTTTATTTCTAGCAGGGTGGAAAACTGTTGGTTTATATGTTTCATAGAATTTTTATTTTTTTCATTAAATGATATTTATAGCTGCCATATTTTAATATTCTTAAAATACAGTATTACTTCCAACCATTTCTGCTTTAGAGAGAGAGACTGATTAAAATCTTCAGCATATGATGATGTTAAGAACTTGCAATCATGGAAATATCCTAATGATTTGTTTGTGCCATATTTCCATTTTAACTTATTTAACAGGCATTAGTTGTGGACACTACTCAGGCTGCCTATTAGATTGTTGAGATTATTTAAAATATTTTACAAACTGTGTAAAAATACAACTGATTAGATTTAATGAACATCTGCTGTGCTTCATGCATTTTATCATAAATTCTGAGTAGCAATATTTAAGGTTATCCAACTGGAAAATCTACTTCATTTATAGAGTTTAAGCCATTATAGCAAGAATTCAAGATTATTTTAACTACTAAATCTGTAAGATTGAACATGAAGCTTGTCTATCGAAGTCTAAGGAAGACTCAGTAGATTCTAGATTCTGAAGTACTTTGAAGATAAATTTATGGCAAGGTTTGGTATATTTTGATTATGTTCCTATGTGGCTAAATGCCTCCTAAATCTGCTTATGTTGTGAGGAATATAAACACATTAAGGATCATTAGATGTTTTGAGGTGCAATACTTTTGTGTTGAGTGTACATGAATGAAATTATGTCTGAGCTCTTAGATGACTGTACTGCTTTTTTACATTTTAATTAAGTTCCACTCTAAAAAGTTTGGCAGCTGTATAAAATACAAAACCATCAAGAAATCCAGCTTTATTTTAATTACATCAGCTCTTCGTAGTTCAGAGGGCACTGAGGTAGATGAAGAGCTAAACATTTCTTTAGCTGTGGCCTCACCTGCAGACTATATATAGGGACTCTGGGGAGCTTTCCTCATGCTTCCTGCTCAGCTTGGGTCCCTTGCCACGACCAGGACTAATAAGAAAACTGCATGTCATGGTAGGAGGTGGTTTTGGCAAACATCAGTCCTGTCCTTTGCCATTGTCCCTTAGCACAGAGATGGGATCTGGCTGGTCCCCTCAGGGTTTCTCTGTCACAGATTTGTGAAGAAATGGGAGAACAGATATTAGGCTGTGCATTAGAAGTTGTATGTGCTTGTTTATATGAAAAGTGCTGTCAATAGGGTTCAGAGTGGT